AGCCAGAGGTGGGACACCATACACTGTATGTCCAAAGGTTTGTAGACGTCTGTCCATCCAGTGTTTCTTCTGAAATCAAAGGTGTTAATAGGGAGTTTCTCCCCCCTTCGCTGCAGTAACAGCCTCTACTCTCCTAGGAAGGCTTTACACTAGATGTTGGAACACTGCTGTGAGGATTTGATTGGATTCAGGCACAAGAGCATTAGTGAGGTCAGATACTGATGTTGGGTGATTAACTCTCCACTCTCCACTCCGACTTTTCTCAAAAGTGTTGGATGGAGCTCCTTCACTCCAGAGAATGCAGTTTCACCACTCCACTGTCCAGTGCTTAGGGTCTTCATAACCTTCTAATTAAGGTATTAGGAATTAGGCATGATGATATTAGGCCCATATGTGGCTGCTCCAGAGTGTCCTGTTCAGTTGGTGATACATTTTGGTGGCGATTATATAAGCTAAGAGTGTGCAGGTGAAATTTGAAATTCCAAATTTCTCTGCTTGTTTTAATGAGCTATGAGCGAGGAATAATTAATATCAAATAGCAATGTTTTACTTATTATAATATGCAGCTCTTAAAGCCACAGATAGTACAGTCTTATGTGTCTTTTATGCAGGAACCGCACTGGATGAGCACAAGCAGCCACACACGCACTCACTCAGATCAAAGTTAGCCATCAGTGGTCTCAGGGGGGCTGTGGATGAGGGCTACAGCTGGTTCTCTGGAGCGCACACGCACACAGTCTGGCTCCATGTGTGCCCCTTCTGCATGCTGCGCTCTGCAGGATGAGGGAGAGGCACAGACATGCTCGATATAGCAAACATTAGCATTGCCGCTGCCCCAGAGAGTGTGGTAAGCGAACGAGAGAGAGAGAGGGAGAGAGAGTGCTGTAGTGTGCAGGACAGCAGGGTTTGATGTAAGGAGCGGAGCACATTCTGCAGCGTTTGGTGAGGGGGAGATGACTCAGCTGCGTGCAGGGCCAGGCTAATGATAAGGCGTGTTAATAGAACACGCTCAGTCAGCTGTGAAAAGATCCGTCCGCACCGATGAACACCCTGAAAGTCTCTCTCTCTCCCTCTCTCTCTCTTTCTCTCTCTCCCTCTCTCTCTGTTCCTTTAGAGTAATATGTGAATATTTGGAGTCTGTTAGTTACCGCAAAGAAATCTGAATCTCTGACTTCGTAATGATTCAGTTTGATTCCTCTGGAAACCATTCAGTACATCATTAAGTTTCTGATTCATTTACAGTTATGATTCTTCAAGAAACAACTAAGTGCATAATGAAATTAGTTTTCACTGTGATTCATTTACAGTTGTGATTCAGTTCAGTGCATCATGCATCATTATAATTCAGAACTTATGATTCTTCATCAAACGATTCAGTACATCATGAAATTCCAAATTTCACAAAAAATTGATTGAGTTAAAATTCTTTAGAAAATGATTCAGTACATCATAAAAGATTTGGTTTATTTACAGTTGATTCATTAGGAGGCCATTTAGTATATACTAAAATTTCAAATATCACCAAAAATTGATTCAGTTGTGACTTTTTAGAAAATGATTCAGTGTATCATTAAGCCCCTGATTCCACAATGATTTCTTTACAGTTATGATTCTTTAGGAAGCAATTCAGTGCATTATGAAATCTCAGATTTCTCAGTGATCCAATTTGATGATGATTCTCTAAGAAACAGTTCAGTGTAGTTACTTGATTCAGTTATTTTAGTTATATTTAATGGAAAATATATAAAAAAAAATCTTACATATACATATATTCACATATATTTTACTCAAACCAGGAAAAAAGCATAAAAATAGAAACAAATGAGCGTACACTTCGCTGAATGTTATTAACATTGAGTGTAAATTACTCTAACATTCCAGTACTAATGCAGTTCATCACATTCAGGCTGATTTGTCACAGTGAATATTTGCATTTTTACACCTCTAATTGTACAGATCAGAAGTAAAGAAGTAACAGACACAAGTGAGAAATAAGGAGCGATACAGAGAGAGAGAGGGAGAGAGAGTGTTTGGGTTCAGATGAAATAAGAGCACTGGTCTGAGCTTGACTCCATGCTCGACCTCATACAAAGCTTGAACCGTTACATGTGGTCTGACCTGTAATCACATGGCGACCAGCTTGACCTCTCACCTCCACAAATATTGACTCCATGCCTGCAGGGAGCATGCTGGGATACGGTTTCCCATCAGCAACCCCACATGACTTTTGACCATTTACCTTTTGGAGCATGACTTGGTTTGTTTATGCATATATTTGATTTTTCTCACCAGTGATCATTGTTGCCAGTTCACTGTACTTTATTTATTTTTCCCCTCATTTTGTAATGTTGATATTTGTCCATTTAATCTTCTTTAATTTTATCTTGCTTAATTTTATGTTTGCTTTAATTTTTCCCCATTGTTAGTTACTACATATTCCAATTTCATGGTATTTAATTTATTTTTCCCCCTAATTTTCTGCTTATTGTTAATTCTACTTGTATTTTTTATTTTTTTTTAATTTTTTCTTCCAACATTAGGTGTTACATACTCAAATTTAACTGTATTTTATTTCAGTTTTTGCCATTTTTCTTGAGGGTTATTCATTCTCAGCTTTTTTTTTTATAGATATCAGTTTTATTTTATTCTCCCTAATCTTACCTATTGCCAATTCCTGCCCAA